TAATTTTTTTTTTCTTTCTTAAATTTTATTTTATTTAGTATTTATTAAATTTCCTTTAACCAAAAATTTTTATTTACCAAAAAAAATTGATAAAATATATATATATATTATATATATATACTTATATATATACAAAAAAAAAAAAAAAATTTTTTTAATTTTTTTCTACTTCACTGTTATTATTACTACTATTATTATTATTATTACTATTATTACTATTATTACTATTTTTTTTATTATAATTATTTAAAAACTTCAAATAAAGATTTTCTCATTCTAACTTTCTAACTCGCTTCTTCAAATTAATGATTTTCTGTTGCATCTTCTTCTGAGATTGCCTTTTCTTCAATTCTGCATAGGATTCATTTAGTTTGGTCTTAAGGCAGATACAACTAGGATAGCCAAAGCTATTGGTATATTCCTTGGTCTTTTTCTCGAGCCAAACTAGAGAGCTTTATACAGCTGTTACTGTATTCTGAAGAAAGCCAAGATTGGTCAACAAATCTTGGCAAGTGGTATTAGAATTGTTAAAGGTAAAGGAAGAGGCAGCAGAGAACTGAATTGTTTTGAAATCATATTTTTCTAAGGACATTTTTTTTATAATTATTTGGTTTAAAAATAATTAAAAAAAAAAAATTTTTAGAATTTTTTTTAATTAAATAATAACAAAAACATTGAAGATTTATCATCATAATAGAGGAAACAAGAGAGAAGTGTACATGAAAAAAATAGAAAAGGCTAACTGTACAATATAAATATTAAGCTACAATCCTTTCTTGCTTTAACCTGGGCACCCAAGGAGTTAAACTAGCAAAAAGAAAAACTCCAAGCAATTCAGTAGAAAAGCTAGAGTTCCTCTATGAACTAGTATGATAATTATAAATGTAGGAAAGTAAAAAAGAAAAATAAAAGAATAATAACCTTTTATTGATTGTGTAGATATTGATAAAAACTAAACGAACAATTAATTAGTTTTATAGCAAAAAAATAATTATAAAAAATTTTTGAGACAATCGATAATCAATATTTTCAAAACAAGCTACTATAATCTAATCAGTTCGATCATTTTTTACACTAAGTTTGTTGAACTATTTGGAAGGTTCTGGATCAAAATTTCAAGTTTATTGTTATCAAACTTAAAATAATAAACTATTATAATTATTGATTATCAACAAACAAACTACTAAATATGGAAATTTAGTATAATAATTTATCAATAAAACAAAATTAAAGTTTGAAGGCTTAGTTATAATTAGATTAGCTAATAGAAACTTTGGAATATTGTTGATAAAATCTAAAAAAAAATTGTTATAATAGCTTATCATAATTATATGCTCAGAGGATCTCACATTTTAAGAAAAAGAATATGTAATAGAATTTACTTTTTTTTCTATATTAGTATATATTTATTTTTAGCTCTATATTATATTTTAGATTTTTTTTAATATTTTTACATAGTTTATAAATTATTTTATTAGTTTTAATCACTTATTTTATAGATTAATTAGGATGTAGAATGGGCCAAGATAAACCTGAAAATTTCTGAGTTAGGCCAGACTTTGGTCCAGTTCAGGTTTATAATTTTGAGCCTGCTATTGTTCAAATTAAATACAAATCAGATTTGTTAAATATTAGACCAGGTTCAGACTTTATAAGAAGGCCTAATTAGGCTCGATAATTTCTGGTAAACTTATAGTTACTATAAACTGCCATATACAAGACCTGGGTCTGTTTCATTTTACCAATTTTAAAATCTATAATTGGACCTGTAGGTCTCTTGTATAGGTATAGATCTGATAATTAGAGAAGGGTTTATATATGAGAGAAGTTTTTATATGAGTTTTTTATGTATGTGGCATTTAGTATCAATATGCATATTGCATATTCAAATTTTAATTTCAATCTATCATCTACTTTTTTTTTATAGAACAATGTCTTTTTAACCAGCTTGGCTTATTATCATTATTTAGTATTTTTTTATTTTTTTGATGGTTGTAAGAACAAAATGGCTAGTCATCATTAATAAAAGTAAGCATAATAATAAAAATTAGAATAGTTATAAAATTATATAGCAAAGTATATGATATACTAATTAATAGTTTACTAACAATATTTAAACTGCAAAAAAAATAGTTGAAAACTTTTATTAGTAAAAAGGTTTTAGATACAAGAAATCAAAACTCTACTATGCAATTAAGATAAGCATTAAAATAGCATAATTTTTAGAAATTGGGCCTAGGTAAAAATTAATATTATGAGCTACTTAAGATATAATCATTTATCAGGATAACTCAGATAAACTAATAATACTTAAGTAGAGATTTATTTGTTGAGTTCAATCTCTAATAATCTCTAATAGATAGTGTTGAAGTCTCTTACATTCTTGCATTATCAATAAGATTTCATAGTCCAAGGTGGTAATTTTACTAAAAACAATTTAAAACTAGTAGAAGTCTATTTACAGAAATTGATTTTTTAATAAAAGCTTTAAGCTTCACTACATAGTTTCTGATATTGTAAACATGGCCAATGCTAATTATAATATGAATAACTTTGAATATGTAATTTTAAAATTATTTCTAATTTTACTAGGTAAGTAAAATAACTTTAAAGTAAACCTTTATATTAATTACTGAATGCTGCACTTTTGATTATTTTTTTTTAAAATTCATTGTAATAGGAGTCTTTAAACTAGTTTTTTTTATTAATATTAAAAATATAACATATCTAATAATAAAAAATAATTAACAAAAAGCTCTTGTTTAAAAACTTTTAATTTATTCAGTATGTTAATATATGGTATACTAACCATTTGTTGACTAATTCATTAACTTTCATATAATATTACTAGTGTATTTTTAAATAAATCAGCATTTATAATTGAATTATATAAAACTTAATATTAACTAAATGCATATAAGTATTAGTCAATATAGGTGTATTATTTAAGTTTACATAAGTTTAAGCTTATCTTTCTGATTCAAAAACAAAATTTTTAAGATTCAGACATTAAAGCAAGAGCTCTTAGTAATAGCAGATTACAAAACTATTACAAGTTAAAAAAAAAAAGAATTATAAATTATTAAATTAAAAAAAAAAACTATAGAATATTATAAAAAGTCTTTTATAAGCTTGGTAAATTATTAATGTTAGAGATTAATTGAATATTAACAAAAACATGCACTTTACATAGAAATTCATATATTTTATTCAAAGTGTGATGAGATCAAATATTACAACCTAATTGACTTATTAATATAAAAAGCATATGCATAATTATTTTATAGTTCATTATATATAAAAAAATTTTTTTTATCATGTTTGATATTTTTGTCTTATCCTGAACAAAGCAAGTTTTCCAACCAAAACACAAAAGAATATCTTGAATAAAGCAGGTTTTTCAACAAATACACAAAAGTAAGAACTAATATATTTTAAATTAGTAAAAATTAAAATATTATAAATTATTAATATATGCTGTATATTTAAATAAGATAGGGCATTATAGAAAAAATTTAAAATAAGCAAAGATTACTAAAAAAAGAAAAAGAAGCTAGAACATGTAAAAGAAGTTGGCAGTTGTTACATATCTTAAAAAAATCCCATGACTAGCAAGCAAAATACTGCTTAACAATTTAATATAACACCAAAGCAGTTGCACAAATAAATTAAAAAAAGAAAAGAATTAAAAAATGCTTCACTTTATACAAGATGGTTAAATATTGGTACTCATTCTAAATATCTGCTTTTAGAAGTTGATTTTTTAGATTGGGTTAAATCTTTATATTTAAAGCAAAAGATTGTATTTCAAAATATAGTTAAAACTAAAGCACAACAACTTGCAAGGCTAACTTATTTTATTTCACTTTATTCTATAATTAATAAATGCAAATAGAGTGATAAATAGATTGAAGATTTTATGCATTATAATAATTTAAGCAATTGATGCCATACTACAGTAGCACAAAGACTACCAGAGGACTTAGAACTTAAAAGAGATAAATTTTTGAGTTATGTATTATATCATAGAATGCATTATAATTATTCTCTTTCTTTTATTAGAATTATAAATAAAATGCTACTAGCATTTGATATGCCTAGTAATTATACAATAGAAGAAGCTAGTGCTTATACAGTTAGAATTCATACAATTGGATATGAGAAATCTAATTTTACAGTTGTATTAAGTTGTTTAGCTAATAGTACTAAATTGCTTTTTATAATAATTTTTAAATTAGTCAAAGTATTATAGCAAATATTTCTACTAAGTATCATTGTATAAGCTAATCCTGAGAAATACATAAATTCTAAGAAAATAATTTTTTGAATTGAAAAGATACATTAAGCTCCTTTATCTGTTGATCTTCACTCATTACTTGTTTTGAATTCATTTTATATTCATCTTACAGACATGGTTAAAAATAAATTTAAAGAAAAAAATACTAATATTGTGAAAATTTTAGGTGAACTTACCAAAAAATTGCAACCATTAGATGTATATATTAATAAATCCTTTAAGAATGAGGTAAACTAATATTTTAAAATTATTGGTGCATTTATTTAAGTATATAAGTAAAAATAGCATTATTTATTAATCACATAATTGTCATAACTAATATTAAAATTTAGTTAAAGTTAAAATTAATAAATCTGATTGGTTAATAAACTTGATCAATCAGTAGTTTATTTGTTTTAATTTGAGCTAAATGTTAATATTAGCCAGAAAATACTTTTTTAAGTATCGTAAGTGCTATCTTAGTTGAATAGTTAAAAAAATTAAAAAATTAATACTTACAGATCATATTCAAAAACCTGCTTATAATTTGGTAGCAAGATGGATTAAAGCAGCATGAAACCTTGTTAACTTTGATCTTATAAAACAGTCATTCAAATGCTATAAAATATCTATAGCTCAGAATAGGTTTAAGAAGAATATAATATTTAATTATGATTGAGTCACTAATTCAAAATGTCAAAATAGTGATTATATATATATCAATATGGATAATGCAAATGAAAATAAAGATGTTGTTAATTTGACTCAAGACAATAATAATAATGATGATAGCGGTTTGGATAAAAGTGATAAAATAAGAAGTGAATATAATGATAAAGATAGAAATAATGATAATGGAAATGAGAATAATAACAAAGATTATAATAGTTTAAAGATGAATAAGGATGAAGATAGCTTAAATAAAGGTAGAGTATAATTTTTTTTTTAATGTTAAAAGATATAAATTTTTTTAAAAAATTTTTGTTAATTAATAAAAGTTATAAGGAAGATTCATATTATTATAATTAAATAACTGAATATATTTATATATAAAATTGAAAAAACATCCTCTTGCCTACCCAAATCATAAAAAACATAATAAGTATAGTAATGAAAAATAGAATATTAATAAGTAGTGCCAATGCAGTCAAAAAATAATAACATATTCAATTTATCATACAATGACAAATTTAAAGAATAACTTGTAGCTTTTGTTAATATTAAATAGTTATGAACAATTGTAATAAAGGAAAAACCACAAATAAAATTAGATAGTATCTGCTATTATAGCTACAAAACAATTTATAAAGTTTGTATTTACAAGCAACCTTGCAAAAAGATATATATTATAATCTGGCTATATGTAATTCATTTATAGCACTTTATGTTTTATTACTGAATTTAACTATAAAGTAACCCACTATTTGATAGAATTGTACTGTATAATTTATTTGTAAATTTAAATAGATTGTTAGAAATTGAACTAGTTATTTAGGGCCATTAGAAAATAATAAAGAAATGCATTAATAAACTATAAAGCAATACAATATAACATATATAACAATAAGTTGACATATCAATATTGATATATTAAAAATTATTTAAATGCTGCACAAACAGCATGTAAGACACTATTAAATATTTTTAGATAGAACTATACTTCAAATACTGTATATTATACTGGATCTTTTTAATATTTATTCCTATTTACATACTTAAGTTTTTTAATATTTATTTCTATTTATATATCTGAATCTTTTAATATTTTATTCCTGTTTATATATCTAGGTATTTTACAATTTAATAAAATTTTAATCTATATTATAAACTCAGATATAGTACATAGTGGGTCTGATATCTGAGAGGATCTTATATATGACAGTTTACAGTAATACTGAGATTTGAACTTTAGACCTGCCACTTAGAAGTTGACAATCTAACTACTTTACTAGGTTACTATACTCTTATTATATATTACACTATTTTTATTTTTGTAAAGTTTATTAGAATTTTAATAATTATTTTTTAATATCTTTTTTATTATTTTTTACTAATTGCTACTTAAAACTGACAAACTCAAGCAAAATTATTAATTTATATGGCTTAGTATAATATACTTTTGTATTCTTTTTCTTTGGCAAATCTGGTAGCCTAGTTGATTATATACTTCTTTATTTTTTAAATTATAATATAAGCAAATTTGCTTTATTAATTTTTTTAAAATTAATTTTTATAATAAACTTTTAATAATTAATTTTAATAATATATTTTCTAAATAAAAATATATAAATATATTTTTTTGAGTTAAAGTTTTTATTTTTAAAGAATAATATTTTTATTCAAGTTTTTGTAGAATACAGATGCTTTCAAAAGCTTCTTTATATTAAAGGTTACAACTAGACATATGTATACTTTTGGTGTTTAATTTAAGTAATCCATTTATATATTACTATGCAGGTTCTATACTAGATATCATATCTGCAAGCCAACTACAGGTTTTGCCTATTTAACCTTCTATATATGCAATTTTTCTATATTACAAGAACATACTGCCTATTCAAGTTTTCGATTTTAATCGACATCCTTAGAACTATTTTATTCTTAACAGAAAACTTACTAGAGCTTGCTATGTTCTACATATGCTGATTTAGTTTTATACAATATGATATAGTTACTTAACACTTGCAATTATAGAGATTATTTGTTTAACTACTATATTATACTATTTCTATTTTTGTAAAGTTTGCTAAAATCTCAGTACTTATTTTTCTGATATTTTTATTATCATTTTCTATTAATCACAACTTAAAACTAACAGAACTTTTTAAACTTTTAATCCAAATGACCTGGTATAATATATCTTAGTATCTTTTTTTTTAGTGATTTTTTTTTTTTTTTAAATATTAAGGTGAGTACTTGCAACCCAGAATTTTATTGATAGTACATTCAGCTAATAGTTGCA